GTTTGTCATCTCAAACTCCTTCTCTAGTTCAGTTGTGAATGAATGAATCAGCTCCAGATTGTTTCCAGTAATCAGTAAATCATCCACGTATAAGGAGATGATCAACATATTTGAATGAAGATCTGATTTTACATAAAGTGTGTGCTCACTTTCACTTCTTTGAAATCCATTTTCAGACAAGTAGCTATCAATTCTGCTGTACCTAGTTCTTGGGGCTTGTTTCAATCCATACAAAGCTTTTCTTAGCTTGCACACATGATCAGGAATTGATCTTGAGTTAAAGCCATCGGGTTGTTTTATAAAAACATATTCTTCGAGTTCACCATTGAGGAAAGCTGATTTAATATCCAGTTGATGTATTTTCCACTTCTTTTGAACTGCCAATGTAATCAGCAATCTGATTGTATCATGTTTTGCAACTTGAGTAAAGGTTTCGAAGTAATCCACTCCACTTTCTTGAGCTAATCCTTTAGCTACAAGTCTGGCTTTGTACTTGTAAATCGAGCCATCTGGATTTACTTTGGCTTTGTAAATCCACTTCACTCCAATTAACTTTTTATCAGTTGGTCTTGGCACCAGCATCCAAGTCTCATTTTTTTTTGAATCATTCTCATTTCCTCTTCCATGGCTTCAACCCATTCAGGATGCTTAGCAGCATCTTCATAGTTGTTTGGCTCAACAATAGCCATATAGCATCTTTCATAAACTTCATTCAAAGGTCTAATTCCTCTAGAAGGTGGACTAGAACTGGAAGTGGACTCAGATGGTCCATCATTTGAAGCACTAGACTCTGTTACTGGTGGCTGAACTTCAGGTGCTATCGCTGGAGTATTTTGTTGCACCCTAGGCACAAGAATTGAAGGTTGCTGTGATTTAACTTCTTTCCAATTCCACTTGGCATTTTCATCAACTTTGATGTCTCTTGAAACTATAATCTTCTCAGTTTCTAGATTGTATACACTATAGCCCTTTGACTGAGAACTATAACCAAGGAAGATCCCTTTCACTGCTTTATTATCCAACTTGCTCCTCATTTGATATGAAACATGAATATAGCATAAAGATCCAAACACTTTGAAATATTTTGCTGTAGGTTTCACACTATTCCAAGCCTCAACTGGAGTCTTTCCTTTCACAGATTTAGTTGAGAATCTATTTTGTAAATAGATTGATGTAAACTCAGCCTCAGCCCAAAATTTCCTTGGCAAATCCTTCTCAGCCAACATGCTTCTTGCCATCTCCATCACTGATCTGTTTTTTCTTTCTGCCACTCCATTTTGCTGTTGAGAATAAGGCATTGTAAGTTGGTGATGAACACCATTCTCTTCACAAAATTGATCAAACATCTTGGAGGTATACTCTTAGCCCTTATCAGCCCTTAGGACCTGAATCTTGCAGACTGATGGACTCTCAATGGAGGTATACTCCTTGCCATTATCTGATCTCAAGACTTGAATCTTGCAGCCTGACTGACCTTCAACTAAGGCCTTGAATTTTTTAAAAATGTGAAACACATCTGATTTATTTTTCATGAAGTACACCCAGCACATTCTTGTGCAATCATCAATAAATAGTACAAAATATCGATTTTCACTCAATGAGAGTGTTCTCATAGGTCCATCGATTTTCACTCTCTATACTCCATCAGTTGGAAATGCTTCTCTATGCATCTTTCCATAATTGCGACTCTCACAGACTCCTCCTAGTTCTTGAATTGCAGGAAAATCCCTTACCAAACCTTGAGAGTAAAAGTTGGCCAAGGATTTAAAATTGTAATGACCATATCTTTTATGCCACATGTTTGATTCATCAAGGTTTACCTCAGCACCATTTGAAATCACATTTTGCCAATAAATACTGAAACTTTTATTCGTCATAGGCACACAACAATCTCAACATTTTTTGAATCATTTATCTTATACAAATGATCTTTAAAATGCAATGAATATCCATTTTGAACCATTTGACCAACACTTAACAGATTTGAACTTAAACCAGGTACAAGTAAAACATTATCAAATGTACCTCATTCCCTTCTTTGTCTGGACAACAATGGTTCCAATTCCTTTGGCAGATACAACTTCACTATTTCCCATCTTGAATGTTTCTTTGCAATCTGGATTCAAGTTGCAAAAAATCTCCTCTTTGCTTGTCATGTGATTCTGCCATATTGGTCATGTGAAGTGCCAGGAATAGATGATCCTCACCCTTCTTTTCATGAGCCAGTGTAGCTTGCTGATTCTGGTGTCTAGGCTCATGATGGGTTGGAGTTTGATTTGGGCGATTTATAGGGTAATACTTTTCAGGATGACCAACTTTGTTGCACGCTCTGCACTTATGTGTTTTCCAAAAAAACTTTTCCGGGTGGTTTGTTTTGCCACAAACACCACATGGAGGACGTGAATCTCAAATTTCTCTACTGATCCCCTGTTTGCTGCTAGTTCCTTCTCTTCCTTTCCTTGGATCAAACTGCCTCTTACCAAAATTGCCTCTGGAATACTGCTGTTTATGTTTGGCAGCAAAGGCACCCTCCATTGATTTCTCATTCCTTACAACGAGCCTTTATTCATAAGCCAATAGAGCACCTGTAAGCTCAGTTAAAGTGAGACTTGACAGGTCTTTAGTATGCTCAATGGCTGTTGTAACATCATCATATTTCTCAGGCAATGTAATCAACACTTTTTGAACCACCCTTTTATCTGAAATCTTCTCACCATTTAGTTTGATTTGATTCATAATATCAACTACTCTTGAGGTGTAATCTTTAACTTTCTCGGTCTCTTTCATCCTGAGATTTTCGAATTCTCCACTCAATGATTGCAATCTCACTGCCCTGATTTTTTCTGAACCTTTAAACTCTTCTTCAAGCTTATTCCATGCCTCTTTAGTTGTAGTTGTAACAACTACTCTGGGAAAAATTTCCTCCGACACAGCTGTAAATAAGAAAGACAAAGCTTTCATATTTTTTCATGGACGGATCTTTTTGTTGCTTCAACTGAGCCACTATATAGTTAGCATCATCCTCAAGTTTATCATAACCTTGTTCAATCACCTCCCACAAATCGTAAGCCATCAAGAATGCCTTCATTTTAACTGACCAAAGGTCACAGTTTTCACCATTAAAAACAGCAAGTAGAGGTAATGGAGATGAATTTGAACCAGACATTTTTCCACTCAAAATACCGTATTTAGAGATATTGGATTTATGGATATCACACAGCAACACTGAATTTCAATTTGAATATGGGATTTCAAGTTACCAATTTCCTTCAATAAATCCCAGATTTCAGCTACTTTTTTTTTATTTTTTACTCTTCTTCTCCTTCCTTTTTGGTGCCCTTACTGAAGATCCTTAAGAGCTCTGATACTATTTGTTTGTTTTGAAAAACTTGATTGATGCTCTTTTCATCGAGCCCAACAATAGACCATATATCAAGATACAAAAGAGATTACATCAGAATATTAAAATACTTAGCCCATGTTTGTCTACCATTAATCCAAAAAATTGTTTGCTACAGTAAGATTCTCCACCACACATTCACCCAATAAAATATTCTACACACAAACCAATAAAGTTACTTTAATTTTCAACCACACATTCTCCAAAAAATACTATTCATTACACTAATTTTCTCCCAATAATGGNTTTGGTGCCCTTACTGAAGATCCTTAAGAGCTTTGATACCATTTGTTTGTTTTGAAAAACTTGATTGATGCTCTCTTCATATATCAAGATACAAAAGAGATTACATCAGAATATTAAAATACTTAATAACATCAGCTACAGTAGCCTAATGACAGATGGTATAACTATGCTGTAGACAAAAAAATATTAACCTAACTAGAGTTTAAATAAAAGTCTTCACATTATCCTTCACTATATCAGATAAATCACTCATTTGCAAATGCTGGATCTGATAGAGCCTTCAACTTCTGGGACAGATAGAAAACAGAGACCTTAGGGTATCAAAGAATTCATTTTATCTCATCAGTTCATTCAACAAATGCAGCGCTTGTATCAGTTTATCACATGCCTTCTTCCCATTATTGTTCGTTATTTAGGCTATGCAAAGGGCAGCCTGCCCATCTCTTGCAGCACTTTCAAAGATAATGCCTTTAGTATATGTTCAGTTCACGAGTTTCTTAGAGCATGTCCGTTGTGATTATAAGTAATTCAAACTTACCAAACGTGATTGTCACCTTAGTTCGGAAAACAGAAAATGTATGTTTTTGAACATGAAAAAGTTTTTGGTATGAAAAAATAAGAATTTTGCCACCAACTTTTGTATGCTATAAATAGGGGTTGTCACTTCGATTGTTGTGTGTAGAAGTCTAAAAGCATTACCACCGTAAAAATCTCCTACCATTGTAAAATTCCGTTTTTCAATAAATTATTTCTTCCTTCTTCAATTATCTTGTCTAATTTAAAATGAATTAAGCTAAATGAATACAATGTTTGATATAGGGGTTGACCGACCTCTCATATTGCATGTGGGTCCCGATCTGAATTAAATAATGCCGATCTTCCCCATGTGTGTATTGTGTCATCCCCTATGTCAACCATTATGTTTGTGTAGCAAAACTCATTTAATATTACTCCATACTATTTTTATCCTACAAAATATACTTCACATAAACCACCAAACATTTCCAATTTAATTTATTTATTTCTCCTACCAACTATAAAATATCATCATCGTAAAATTACGAGTGTTAGAAACATTTATCAGATTGGATTACTGGGCATCACAACACATAAATATCTCTTAATTTCGTTTACTCTTGTTTAATCCCGCCGACATGTTCAAAAGTCAGAAAAATATTGGTCATAACTCATAAGTGCCCCTAATTAAGATTACAGATAGGCTATTTAATTTTTATCGGCCATTTAAATAAAATATTCTGCTAAGGTAATGGTGCCAGGTATATACAGCTTTGCAGAAGCAGAAATGGAACTGAAGTAATGGACACACCATACCAATAAATTTTCAATTCAATTGTATATCTCAAGTCAAAAGAAACCACAAAAAAAATGAATTAGAATATATTTCTGCTTCAGGATAGCACACAAAAAGGGAGAGAGAAGGGAAACACTACTTCTGGATGTGCAGAATGGAGATAAAAAACGACTGTCCAAAATTTTTCGAAATCCTAGGTTTCTTGTTTTTTCATGTTTTTCTTGTTCAAAATGCATATGGCAGAACTCATCACCATAGATTTGTGGTAAAACTCTCTCTGTATATATGCATATAATTCCACACTATTGCATTCTTTTTAAATGTCAGTCACCAGTGACAGTTGTTTTTAAGCACTGATGGATATCGTGTATTAATTACAGGTGAAGTCGTGCTCATACACTAGACTGTGTAGCACAAAGAACATTCTTACCGTGAATGGAAAATTCCCAGGCCCAACTTTGAAAGCTCTGAGAGGAGATAAATTGATCGTCAAGGTTTACAACGAGGCAGAATACAACATCACGTTACACTGGTAAGTACACTTGTATTTTTTCGTATGCTCCTAGGATGCACGGCAACATCTAGAACCTAGCATTCTCATTGCGGAAACTTTTGGAAACGTGTCGAAAACTCGAAATAAAGGTTTCCTATTTTTTCTATTTCTTGTTGAAATTCGAAGACTCCACTTAAAAGAAACATTGGGTCAAACTATTCTGTGCACTATGCTCAACTGACTCGACAAAATACGAAAAGAGATGTCATGATATTTTCTTAAAACGTGATAAGTTATTGTTTTCGAGTATTTTCAGGCATGGAGTGAAACAACCTAGGAATCCATGGTCAGATGGTGCTGAATATATCAACCAGTGCCCTATCAGGCCGGGGCAGAAATATACTTACAGAATTCAACTGACTACAGAAGAAGGAACAGTATGGTGGCATGCACATAGCGGGTGGGCACGAGCAACTGTACATGGAATGATTATTATTTATCCTCGGCATGGAACTGTTTATCCTTTCCCCAAGCCTGATGAAGAGGTTCCTATTATTCTAGGTATTAATTGACTAGAAAAATGGATGAAAATTTAAGCTTTAAAAAACTTGGGAATACAATGTAATGACCGTAATCTCACATTGCCAAGTTAAGTTTTAGCTTCTGGGCATATGATCACTTGAGCACGCCCCTTACAAGCTGGTTTTAAGAGTGATTTTCTGTTGTGAGAGAAGAAATACTTCTTTAAAATCAACTTCTGCGTTATTCATAATTATTACACATGGCCTGTTATGGCAGTAAAAGATCTCTAACTGACCTAATATTCGGAAACAAGATGAAGTTTGTTGTTGTTGAATCACCTTTTACAGGAGAGTGGTGGAAGAAAAATGTGATGGACATAGTAGGAAATGCAAATAAGACAGGAGGAGAACCAATATTATCAGACGCTTATACCATTAATGGGCAACCAGGTGATTTATATCCATGCTCCAAAGAAGGTATACTGTTTTCCCATATAAAATTAATTAATTATCTCAAAATAGTTACTTTCACGTAAACCTGAACTCATCTCCATTTTGCTGCAGGAACATTTAGAATGGAAGTAATGCATGGAAAAACATATCTGCTTAGGATAGTCAGTGCAGTAATGGAGGAAAATCTCTTCTTTTCCATTGCAAAACACAAACTCACATTAGTAGGAACAGATGGATTTTATACAAAACCATTTGAAACAGATTACATTATGATCACTCCAGGACAATCTATGGATGTTTTACTTAAAGCAAATCAATCTTCTAATCTCTACTACATGGCAGCTAGATCATATTCATCTGCATTTGGGGCCGGATTCGATAAGTCTACCACAACAGGGATTTTACAGTATAAGCAAAATGTTTTCAACCTTTTCTCCTCTGATCCTTTTCTCCCACCCCTCCCTCCGTATAATGGGACACCAAAATCGACAGAATTTACGGAGAAACTAAGAAGCCTAGCCAGCAAAGAGCACTCGATCGAAGTCCCTTTAGAAATAGACACACATTTGTTTTTCACAGTTGCAGTAAATTTGCTGAATTGCACGGGAAAACCATGCAATGGCCCTTTTGGTAAAAGGTTTTCAGCTAGTTTGAATAACATCAGTTTTGTCTTCCCTTCAAGTGATATTCTTCAAGCATACTATTATCAAATTCAGGGTGTATTTGACAAGAACTTTCCAAGAAAACCTCCTCATAAATTTGATTATACAGGCAATAATTTGCCGGAAAATCTTCTGACACCGGATTTTGGAACCCGGGCTTTGGTTTTGGAATACAATGCTAGTGTGGAGCTGATATTGCAGGGGACTAATGTGCTAGCAAGTGACAACCATCCGATGCATTTACATGGTTACAGTTTCTATGTTGTTGGTTGGGGTTTTGGGAACTTTGATCCCAGAAAAGATCCCTCAAGATATAATCTTATAGACCCTCCTCAGCAAACAACAGTTGGTATTCCTAATAATGGTTGGATTGCCATCAGATTTAGGGCAGACAATCCAGGTGAGTCTATTTTTCATTGTTTATCTTAGTCAGAAAATAGTCGAGAAAATCGTTTAAGAAATACTATGATCAAGAAAGAAAATGAAAAGATCCTTGCATGTTTAAAAACACGTAAATATGCCATACTTCTAAATGAGCCATTTCTTTCTACATATCTTCCTTGTATCTCCATCCTACCCCTCCATATGTACTATCGAGTTTTGGATTCTATATTAAAAGGTCAATATTTTAAAAATGAATAGTTCAAATTCTTATATGTTCATTGTTATTTTAATTTGTGTGAAATTTATCCTTAACATGCGTCGTAAGATGATGACTCATCCTAGTATGCTGATCTTGCACTTCATTAACTCGTTTGAACTTGGTGAACTCTAATACCATATTGAGTCTCAGAGTTTCATACTAAAGTCAACCTTTTAAAGTTATGTTAAGCGTAATTTACATCATCTAAATATGAAAATTATTGACGAACATAAGTTCTACATCAGCTATATATATACTATTGTAGGACTTACACCTAACGTGTCTCGGCCTTGCATTTCATCATTTCTACCTATCTTCCCTCATTTTCTTCCTTCCTTCATCCTTCCTCTCCCCCCTTTTTCACCTCCTGCCCTGATCCCATACCCTCTCTCTCCTTTGACCTTTGTCCTCCCTACCTAGTTCCCACCTCCCCATCGTTACATTTTTCTACTTGTATCAACTCGGCTTCATAAGCATGATCCGACACGACAAGATACGTTCATGCAGTTTCTCAGGCTCATGTTTGGCTTTATACTTTGTATATTTATGCAGGGGTATGGTTATTGCATTGCCACTTGGAGCGACATGCAAGCTGGGGAATGAATACCGTCGTACTAGTAAAAAATGGTGCAGCTCCTCAAACTAAGATACTCCCGCCGCCACAGGATTTGCTCAGATGTTAAGATATGCCACAGATCATATTTCAAATTTGCATTCACTTGTGGTATGATTCTGTCTCTGTAATTCATGCAAATCCAAACATTATGGTATGGTTTTTTCACAACAAATTTCCCTTTTTTTTGCCCTTTTTATTATTATTTGTTTCTGTTGTCACAAACACAAAATGAAGCACGATCAAGGAAGAGGGCACATGACCAAAAAAATTGACGTTAAAATGTGAATTAATTAAAGGATTGATGAACTAATATTTCATTAGAAATTATCGGTCGAACTTGGAAAGAAAAATATCCTTGGACAAATTGGCTGAAATTAATTAATTTTTTTTTTTTTTGAAACTCTTGAGGATTTGACGATAAAAAAAATCTGATTTTTTCTAATACTAGTCACGACTAAACGTGCGTTGCATGTTATTTTGAAATGCTTTATAAACACATTAAAAATGATATTTGAAAATCAGTGAATATTAAAAATAGTTAAAAAAACTGTTTAATTTTTTTTTTTTTTGAAACTCTTGAGGATTTGACGATAAAAAAAATCTGATTTTTTCTAATGCTAGTCATGACTAAACGTGCGTTGCACGTTATTTTGAAATGCTTTATAAACACTGTAAAAATAATATTTGAAAATCAGTTAATATAAAAAATAGTTAAAAAAACTGTTTATGCGAAATGAACTTTTTATACAATTCAATTATTTATTTAGGTGTATGATAATAATTAATATTAATTTATATATATCATACTATAATTCAATTTATTAATTTTTCAAGTTCATGCACGTACACTTTATATATTTATTTTGGGAGTTATTCAATTATTCTAGGAGTAAATAAATTATTCAAATTCATGAATGCGTATTTATTTTCAAGATTATTCATTTGATCATATATTATTTTAAAAGTATATGAATTATTAAAGATCATATAATTTGGGAGCTATTCAATTATTATAGGAGTAGATAAATTATTCAAGTTCATGTACACTTATTTAATTTCAATATTATTCATTTAGTCTATGATATAACGTCATTGGTCTAAATGTATATAAATTATTTTTTTTCTATATTCATTGATTCAAATTAATTAAATTTCATGTTGGTTCATGTACACCCATTTGTTTAAATGTATATAAATTATTATTTTTCTATATCTATTAATTCAAATTAATTAAATTTCATATTGGTTCACTTACACCCCATTTGTTTAAATGTATATACATTATTCTTTTTCTATGTTCATTGATTCAAATTAATTAAATTCCATGTTCATGAATCAATTTNTAATTAAATTCCATGTTCATGAATCGATTTGATTGTTCTCATATACGATTCAATTATTGATTTGCGTACATGTTTAATAATTAATATTCAATTAAACATATATTGAAAAACGAAAAGTAAGGTACTATTGAAATAATTAAATTGCAGTATGACTAAAATCGTCCAGAAAATGATTCTCTCTTGATGCGATATTTAATATAAATAAAATAATATATTGAAAAACGAAAAGTAAAGTACTATTGAAATAATTAAATTGTAGTAGGGTTAAAATAGTCCAGAAAATGATTCTTACTTGGTGCGATGTTTAGAGCTTATTTGGTAACACTAAAAAATCAATTAAAATTGAAAATATAGCCGTTATTGGGTCTCACTCGTCTAATAAAAGTCAATAATAACGACTAATTTTTCAATTTTAATCCGATTTTAATCTCTACCAAACACACTTTTAATATATTATAGATTTTCAGCAGCATGATTTTGAGATGTAGAATCTCCATGATTACTTTTATTCAGAAAATAACTTTTTTTTCTTAAAAATAATTACTGTTGAAATTAATCAATTATAATCTTAAGACTAGTAATTGGGCCCAAATTAGGAGCCCAAAATGATTTTTGACATTGACAATTATCAATTCATGTCAAATTAATCAAATTACATAAAATAAAATGATGTAATATATGATGGGGTTGCGCGTGGAGAAAATATTTGTCAAATTATTTAGGTCACATTTATCAGTACTATATAGTTTTCTATTAATGTGAGGTAATGTGACCAATTTTGTAAAAATCATATTCATTTATTGTTGTGTATCGCCTTTTTACTATGTAAATACTTAATTATATCGATGAAGCAAGCGTGTTATATTTCATCTGTTCATCGAAAATATGTTTCGAATAAAAAACTACCATAAGTGTACGGATCGTTCAAGTAATAAAATGAATTTTAGAGTTCAAGTATCGTTCCCACAGAGATTTACTAGTTCAATTTTACATATTCTGACCTTAATCGAAACGTGAAATATGGTTGAGTTTTGTAATTAAATTGTAGCTAAACTAAATGAAAGCAATAGTGGATGAATTAGTTGAACTAAATACAAATTATATGATTGAATGCAAATTGAAGTAATTCATAGAAAAGAAACGCACTAGGTTCGCGAATCTTCATGCAATGACCCATTTTAATTCTAATTTTACAAAATTGACAACATGTTTGAATTGATGAAGAATCAATATTTCTAACTTATTTAATAATCTCTTACGAGTAGAATTGAGCATATTCTCGTATATCATTTGTCTATATTTCTATGACCAACGCAATACACAAGAATGCATGACGTTTTGTAAATACTTAGAGATTCACGTAAAGCATAACTGTATATTTCTATTCCCTATCGAACCCTACGATTATTTATACACTGTCGAGCTTATTTCTCTTTTTTCGAATGCATAAAATAAGTCACCACACTCATACAACTATTGCGCATATAATTGTAGAGAAAAACAATGTATATAAATCATTCAATAATTCAAAACGCGTTTTAATGTCAACAAAGTAAAATTAGGAATTAAAATATCACATCACAATGTTCATCGTTCACTTAGCACATATAAATCTCACATAACATGGTAGAAGAAAAGAAATCAGAAAATTTAATAAAGAATGACATCACCAATTTAGATTCTTAAATTGATTCTTTGCGTCGTGATATTATTCTCCTTGTTTGTGCCTTGATTTCTCTCTCAAATGCTTCAAAAGTCACCTCCCAGGTCTGCCTAGCATTTGAGGACGGCTTAAAAGTTTATACAGTTGCCAAAAGATTGTTTCCATAAGAGTCGGAACGAAATAAGGAAACCAGAATTTTCGCGTCCAGATTAAACCATGCGACTGCATGGTTATAAAAATTTGGCAATGTTCATCGTCTGTTGGTGCTTGGGCGACTGCATGAACTTTCTACCATGCAACTGCATGATAGAACATATTTTCCTTTTAATTCACTTTGGTCCCCAAATTTTATTTCATTTACTTTTTGGTCTTACTTCCTTCCCCTTCTTCTTCTAGCATTCTTTGACATCACAATGTGTTACTTAGCCCAATTCCATGTTTTATTCACCATTCGGGTCATCTTCTAAATAATTACATTTTGGTCCTCGAAGTTTCATTTTCTTCCAATTTGGTCCTTTTCACTCGCTTTTGCATATTTTTCATTCCATCCATCAATGTAATCTTACAAACACAAATTATATCAAATTAAGTCATATTTCAACATATATATCGACAATTTTCCATTTTTTGTAGCGTAAATAAGTGCGCAAAACGCACTTATCATCTACTACCCGTAACATTGCGTGATCAATAAAAATTAAACCTAGTACAAAAAACGACGAGCCACTTATCAAAATGCCAAGGAGAAAAGTAAAATAATAATAATTATTATTAGATCATGTACATAGTTAACCATTCTAAATTTTCTCTAAATATTATAACCCTCTCCAATGTGTTTTGCAAAAAATAGCATCGTAATGACCATATTTTAATTTATTTTTTATTTAATTATATTTAGTGTCAAAGTCAACAATTAATTTTAACCACACATTTTATCAATTTTTATTAAAATATGTTAAAAATCTAATTTTAATTTCCATCAAATGAGACTTATTATTCATAGAGGCCTCATATTTGAAGTTGGCATACGCCCTCCAAAATATGACGGCCGGCCCTGCAGAAGAATGTGAATTCAATAAAATGATAACCTGAAAATTGATAAAATTATTGGTTGAATTTATTTTCCTACCTAGTTTGTGCAAAAATTGGAACCGAGTTGTTGGACGTGTTGCACTTTACCTGTCAGCATTACATGGAAGAATCGCAATGTATCTTCCTTTTCCCTATTAATTGCAATTAGAGTTACGCACGCTTCTCGTCGTTATCTCTACATTCTACTAAAATTTCTCAAATATTTATTTATATTTTTTTTCTTGAAAACCATGGAAAACTCGCTTTGTAAGACAGTATGTAGCAATGTAGGCATTGTAAACGTCTTGACTATCGTTGTAAACGTCAAGAAATTAACATACTAAATTTGAAAAATCGAAGTTTCCTACTATGATTCATGGATGCATATTGTCAAGATTGTATTATTATGAAAATTGAGTGAAGACAATCAACGCGTTGAACATGCATTTTATGTCTCAACCATCGCCACTAGTTACGCTTTCTACTAACGAATTTAGCGCAATCATTACGAGACAGAGAAAAAATAAAAAGATGGAGAAGAAGACGGCCTTGCATTTGATTTCAATTCAATTTATTAAAATCAAAAGTTGAGATCCAAATTGTCACGAGTGCAACAACTAGACAAAAGAGCAAGTGGACTTCGTGCTGTTGTAACGAGTAACTTTCCTCCTACGTTTGAATCATAAGTTTCTAAGAGCCAATCAAATTTATGTTCCGATCCAATTAGGGAAAAACATCCTAAATTCATTCAACAAAAGATCAAGTTCATGGCTCTATTCATTGTACCACAAATAATCCACTTTTTGTTTGTCAATATTGTAATCTGGATATTATGCTTTTGTACTGTACAAAATATGAACCACACATAATAAAGTCCTACTTGATTGAGCTAAAAAAATCAATTTTTTAATAAATTTTGATGAAAGTCGATAAAATGTGACTGAAAAGTTGATAAAAGTTTTGTGTTCCATAAATTGAAGTTGATAACGAGTTTAAGAAAAAATGATTTTTTTTTTTGGGGGGTGGGGTGGGGTGGGGGGACCAACCACGGCTGTAACGTAAAGGATGAGCATGAATTATGGCATTCCTAATTGATCCACGTGAAATTTCTATATGCCTTTTGGCGGGGCATAGATTTATATAAAGAAAATGATGGAATTTTTTTTTGTTGTAGCATTGTTGAAATCGAGAACCTTATTTTAGTTCACTCTACGATGTTAGTTACATCATAATCTAGTTCAACGGTTGACCTGAATTTTCGAATAACTGACTGAGACGAGCCATGAATTCATTGATCTAGAGATCCAAAATTTCTTAATCTCTTTTCGACCTAAGAATAGACCCTACATGAACGAGATTCCTCGTCTAACTACTCAATCGTGGTGTACCTAATAACAAGATAAAGAGTCTTGATGGAGCCATATCATCTGTATTGTTGCAAAAGGCATGATACATTATAGCAACCCCCACTATCCAATGTCAAATTATTGGAAGGCAAGGATTTCTGAAATCTAAATTCGGCTCAAACAATAATGATTGAGTGCCTTCGGTCACAATCCCTTTTTTTAATGGTCGAGTAGTTTTGATTTTGTAAACATTGTAAATCAACGTGATAGCAAGTTTTAGGATGCCAAATATTAGTCCTCATCCATAAGGCATAGGGATGGCAACGGGACGGGGCAACCTCCCCTGCCTCTCTCCCCGGCAAGCAATTCCCCGTCTCGACCCGTTACACCGTTTAAGGCGGGGAGGGGTGGGGCCCTGTTTACTATCCCGTTTAATTTTTATTTTTTGAAAGTTTTTGATAATTTATTTTTATTGCCCCCATTTATTAGATTTACACAAATAATTTTAGTTGCTATTTTCTATTAGAACTAATAAAATTTTGTGAAAATTTTCATTTACAGTATTGAATTCTAAAAAATAAAAAAAAATTGAACGGGGCGGGTGAGGCCCCCGTTAGCCTACCCGCCCCATCCCCACCCCGTTCGGGGGTAAGGTCCCGCGGGTATCGGATCTGTCAAGTTTTTTTGCCTTTCCTAATAAGGCCATCACCGATCCATGATCGCGACAACCTACGTATCCCTCCTGGGATTAATGATTAAAAGGCTTGTCTCATTCTTTAGGTCACATTCATGCTTAATATATTGGAGTGGTTCTAACATGCTAAACTATCATGATATGAGAATTAGTTGTTTGATCACGTTACTATAATCTTATGGGACCCACATTTGTTTTAAATACTTCCTAATAATCTTTATATATGGTTGCAAATAATTCCATGTTAGTGGGTATATGCATACAAAAAGACGTCTAAGATTGTCGAATTAAATTAAATAATTGTGTAAAATATTATTTTCATTTCAAGATTAATTTATTTTTAAATTAGCAATGACAATCCTAATGTTGTCTATTATCATAACACAATATCACGTCGATTCCCTCTCGAATTCTTAATATGTAGATCTGTCCAAAAAATTTATTACTATGAGCTTGAACCATCAACCAATTATATTGACATCTTACCGTCCATGCTGCGTGGATTGAGATATATAACCAACGATTTAAGATAATTAATAGATTAAAAATTTGGATAATCCAAAAGGGTATTAAAAATTCTGGTGAATCCCCACTTTTTGACAAGGTACATGCACTAGCAAGATAGAATTATGGGATCCCAAGTGGCAAAGTATCCTAAATGGAGCATGGACCGACCATATGTACCATAAAATGTGTGTTCAAACAGCAATTTCGACATTTTTCGAGTTCATGATCCTTTAAATAAATCAATGCATACTTGTTCAGCTCAATTGCAGTTGGGTCTGAACTAGTTCGAGACTTGGCTTGTCACATTCCTCTGTATATGCGCTTTCTTGACCTTAACCCGTATTATTTATTTTACTTTTTGAATACATGTATGGCTGTATACCATAGTTCCAAGTGTGAAATGATGAATCTCTCTTTAAGAAGCATCTACTTTATCTCGACAGCAAAGAGAGAGGAAAGGACCTCAAATCTGAGGGACCCTGCCCGATGTGACTTGTGGTCGTGGTCCACATCGCTGCTTTCTTCGAAATATGAGGAAGAATAGATATGAGAATAGGGTCATCATCCATAAATAATAATCGAAATGGCATGAAAATTCCAAAGCATTTGAGTATGACTCACCTGCCCATTTTATTGGCAGTAGGCCCCAAAATCCTCTCTCAAGCCAAAAATGACAGCTGGTAAATCAACTTGGTGGTGGCTTAGTCAGCCGAAAATCACCCATATTTAGGTCACCGACCAATCACGGGCATCCAGAATCTTTCACGAAAACAAGCTCAATGAATTCCAGACGCACACAGTACTCGTACGTATGATAAGAGAGAGATTACAAGAGATAATTTTATGCTCCTGAGTTTCAAATTCGGCTCAGCTCGGCTTGGCTTTAGCTTACACTGGTTTGAGGCTATTCCATATACCCCACAAAATGTTTATTTATTTGGAAAAAAACCGTGTACAAACTTTTTCCTTACAGAACTTTTACGGGTGCTGCGTTGATTGGACCTTTCTTTTTAACTTCCAATAAAATATCGCCAAGTTTCATATGTGAAAGAATTATGTATGAGTAGCATTGTTCTATTTATTTTCTTATATTGTCAGATATACATTGGTCTTCATCACGATTGCTAACCTATCAAGTTCATGTTTGGTCAGGAACAAATGTAAATTAAAATGTAAGTCAATGTCAATAACAAGTGTGTGCTTAAACATGACAAATGTTACATGTACTAGTAAGTTTATTGTGAAATGGAGGTAGATTATTGTCAACTGGAAGGAGATTTTCGGTGTGTTGTCTATCCAAAAAGAATTAGACTAATCGTACATTAATTTATTGACATCTTTGTTGACATTTAATAATGTGAAAAAAAATTTTGATTTAAGTGTTGATAAAATCAAGAATCATGCTACAGTGACATGATCCTTAACATAATATCACATAACACTTCATCATTGGACTGTTTTAAATACAATCAATTTTTTCATCCAATCACATTTTGTAAATTAATATTATGTAATTCCATCTTTCAACCACTTTCGACAAAATGGCATAACCCTAAAATCAATGGCAAAAATGTTGGCAGGGACAACCATTATATTTTGGTGGCCTTATACAAACTTCAAACATGGTGCCCTTATGAATATTAAGTCTCTGTTTGATCGAGGTTGAAATCAGATTTTTAACAAATTTTGATGAAAGTTAATGGAGTGTATGGTTAAAATTAATTGTTAATTTTGACTTCAAAATAATTAAATACAATTAAAAATAATAATTAAACACAATCTATAAAATTGAAATACAAAATACAATAATTAAACTCTATTATAAACATAAAAAGGGGGACAAAAAAATAATAAGTAGATTGGAAAAATTCCAAATCAAATTACATAATAAATAGAGAAGCATTAGTTTAATTAAAATATTAATCAATACAATGACACTGAAAAACGAGAAAAATATGGACAAATCATACAAAATGCAAAAACCTAGAGAGAAAAAATGAATGCAAGTGCCTTTAGCAATAGCTCCTTGAATAAGTATCAGATTCACCTTGAGAACATTGAAAAGTAATGATATTAAATTTTGAAGAAAGAAAAGTGATTTTGTTCAGAAAAAAATGATGATTGTAAAGATAAATAGTCAAATTAATTATATATAGAGAAAGTAATGACTACATGAATGCACGTGATAAATTTTATGACATTTATATGATTTTTTAGAGATATTTATATTTTCAAATTTTATTAGTTTTTTGTGTTTGTATATAATAATTCTAATTTAAAAAACTTCGTAATTATAATTTTCATTTTTCTTCAATTAGACAATTAACCTTACATAATTTGGGGTCCTCATTAAAGAGGAGCCTTAGGCCATCGTCTATGCCGCCTATAATTGGGGCTGGGCCTGAATTTTGGTAACCTCACAAGCGTCGACCAAACTGTACTTGTAGCAAAACTGATCCAAAAAAAAAAGGTTATTAAACTTGGTCAATATTGAGTCATTGACTCGATTGGGATTTTTATTTCCTAATTTTTTTTATACTTTATAACATTTTTTGCATGTATTTTGACCATCTTTTATCTCTGCTATGGCTTGGCTGAGGTGAACTGTGAAGCCGGAAAGACAGCCGCTCTAATCCTTATATTTCACGAGAGTCGCAGAGGATAACGGAAACATATGTTAATCTTAATTCTCACACCAAAAAAAACTTCATTCTTAAGTAGATAATGGCGTATATAGAAAGACGCACATGATTACTGTATGTATCACCAGCCTATTTTTCTATTTCTTGGAGCAATTATTAAACCAAGAAAATGCTGAACGTCTGTCTAAAACAGAGATTCCAAACAAAAAGTTACTATAGAAACCCGTAAAGTAGACAGAAAAAAATCTTTCACGGACTCGCATAGGCCTGTTTTTAAAGAAAATTATCTTGGGATGTGAGAGAGAGAGAGAGGATTCTCTTGTGTAAGCTGTCATTTTAAAAAAAATGGACCCAGTGAGTCTCTTACGTTTATCCATCACGGGCTGCTAAAAAACAATTTGGACTTGTACCCTCTTGTTCTTGATCACTATAAGTCTGTTCTACCCACCAAGCATTTGTTCCATATTCACATTGTTAACCATTTTTTTATCCTCTTCTGAGGGAGGTCATAGCAATTCAATGGCCTCGGGAAAACACACTGTTTTCCTCTATTGTTACATTCTTTGCTTCACTTTAACCAATTTCGTATTGAACTTTCGGCCTGTTTTGGCCCAGAAACCTGTTTTTGCTTGTGATGTCTCTAACAATCCCGGGTTCAAGAATTTCAGTTTCTGTGATACTTCTTTGGATGTGAAAACCCGCGTGGATGACCTGGTAAATAAGCTGACATTGCAAGAAAAAATTGGGTTCTTGGTTGATGGTTCAAAGGGAGTGAGTAGACTTGGAATTCCGAATTATGAGTGGTGGTCTGAGGCTTTACATGGAGTCTCAAATACCGGGCCAGGTACCAAATTTACGAGCCCGATTCCCAGCGCCACTAGCTTCCCTCAGGTCCTTCTTACGGGTGCAACTTTCAACGAGTCCCTGTTTGTATTGATTGGAAAGGTGATGCCTATCTACTTCATTAGCCTTTTAATGATTTTTTACTTTTTCCCCCCCTTTAGGATTTCTACAACCATATTTTCAAACTTTTTCATATTCTGTGGGGTTTTTCATTTTTTTCCTTCTTTCTTTCAGTGCTTGTAGATAAAGTAGAGATTTAATTCCGTCCAGCATTAAATATCTTTTGTACAATGCAACAAGTCCTTTATTTACCATTCACTGGATTTACTACAGTAGTTTTTTGCTGAATTTTTGCTTCCTGCATTTATGTATAATTCTCATTAGCATTTTCAACTTTTTCCCCAATTTCCAGTAAATACAATAGTCGATGAACCAAAAGGTACTACAAAATTTACTGGGAATAAGACATTAAGACGCTCTTTCTTCTATATGGGACAAATTAACATTAAAGGCAATAGCATTAGCGGCAATGTGTCAACATCACTTTATTTTCTAAACCTTTTTTTATAACCATGGCTCACGTTCTTTTGTGAATCCGGCAAGGTATTTGTTTTATTGGACACGTTGTCTGATTTTATAGACAACAAGAAAAAGAGGATTAATGCAAATCAGAAAATCCTAGCAACAATCATATTGCTGATTTGAAGGACCAGGTTTCTTTAGAAAGTGGAGGGCCCCTAGTTATTGGCGTGTCAATTGTCAAAATTAATTCTTTGATATGATTTTTTAAATAACTAAGGAGGTGGATGTGATTATGACTTGTGAGCAGAAGTTGGTAATCACGGACACAGTCATTGCTCGCCAGCAGTGAATTATGAGGATTTTGAATATGATTCCAGCTTGCTAATTTTACTTAAGTAAACATGAATTTAATTTGTTCACTTAATTTTGTTTTAGCTATTTTGTTAGATAATCTGACAGCGATCTGAAGTCTAAATGGAAGAAGGATTGGCAAAAATTCTTACCTAACCCGTACACTCACAGAAAAGTTAGGTAGCATGAGGACTTGAAATTTTTTTTTTTTTCAATGTCTGCAGGTGGTTTCTACTGAGGCTAGAGCAATGTACAATGTTGGATTAGCTGGATTGACATTCTGGTCCCCAAACATCAACATTTTCCGCGATCCCAGATGGGGACGGGGCCAGGAAACTCCAGGAGAAGACCCCGTGCTTTCGAGCAAGTACGGTGCAGCATATGTAAGAGGCTTGCAAGAGAGAGATGACGGTGACAAAGACAAACTGAAAGTTGGTGCTTGCTGTAAACATTATACGGCCTATGATGTGGATAACTGGAAAGGAATTCAGAGATACACTTTCAATGCTGTGGTATTTCTCTATAACTGATCAAATTTGAGTTGGTTCATGCTTATTTCCCGAATTCTGATTATCATAATAAGTTGTTCGATTTATGATGTGTGAGTTAGGTAACACAACAAGATTTGGATGATACCTACCAACCCCCATTCAAGAGCTGTGTTCTTGATGGAAATGTCGCTAGTGTGATGTGTTCGTATAACCAAGTTAATGGCAAGCCAACATGTGGTGATCCCGACCTCTTATCTGGTGTGATTCGAGGCCAGTGGAAGTTGAATGGGTATTTAACTTTTGCATAACTGTCAATGTTCAACTTAATGAACATTAGTCAATATATTTGCTCGTTGTTTGGTGCAGGTACATTTCTTCCGACTGCGATTCTTTGAAAGAGATGTTTAATTCCCAGAAGTATACAAAAACACCAGAGGAGACTGCTGCTTTGGCTATAAAGTCAGGTGTGTAATATTTAACTGGGTTGTAATTGTTAGTCTTGGTGTTAGACCGCGTATAGCCTAATCATACCTTATATTGTTCCCTTGACCTCAGATTGACCCATTCGTTTAGACATTGTATGCTTTTTTGTTCTATCTTAATCTAAAAAACAGCTGATGACAAACAATTCATAACCACTGATGACAATTCATAACCAATCACTCCTCTTATTATACAGGGTTGGATCTCAACTGTGGATCTTTCCTGAGTGATCACACGCAAGCTGCAATAAATGGTGGACTACTAAACGAAACAGACGTCAACAAAGCAATTTCGAATAATTTTGCCACGCTGATGAGACTGGGATTCTTTGATGGTGACCCGAGTAAACAACTATATGGAAATCTTGGGCCGAAAGATGTGTGCACCCCTGAAAATCAGGAGCTTGCCCGTGAAGTTGCAAGGCAAGGGATTGTTTTACTCAAAAATACTAAAGGATCACTGCCTCTCTCTCCCACTGCCATCAAATCCTTGGCAGTAATAGGGCCCAATGCTAATGTAACCAAAACCATGATTGGCAATTATGAAGGTATCTTTTTATTTTTTAAATGTAGCACGATTTATAGCAACTAATGTCATCCTGTATAAACGTGTTTTTTTTTTTTTTGCAATATAATTGGAAAGAAAAAGTAGTACTAATATTGTTGACATGCTAAGATTAGGCCGAGCATATTCAGAGCATAGCTCGACCCGGACTTCATCAGGGATTACTTACCATGGACTATCTTGCAGGTGTGCCATGTAAATACACAACTCCTTTGCAAGGTCTAATGGCCTCAGTTGCAACAGTGTATCAGCCGGGCTGTGCTGATATATCGTGTCCCACCGCTCAAGTGGATGAAGCTAAGAAAGTAGCTGCTGCTGCTGATGCTGTAGTTTTAATAATGGGTTCGGACCAATCTATCGAGACTGAAAGCAAGGATAGGGTCGATATTACACTTCCAGGACAGCAATCTATCTTAGTTTCAGCTGTTGCAAATGTATCCAAGGGGCCTGTAATTCTTGTTATTATGTCCGGAGGTGGCATGGACGTACAATTTGCAAAAGATGATCCCAAAATAACTAGCATCCTCTGGGTCGGTTTCCCTGGCGAAGCCGGTGGAGCAGCAATTGCTGATGTAATATTTGGATGTTACAATCCAAGTAAGCCTTCCTAATAATTTCTCATTAGTTTTGGAAAAACATGTTCGGTAAGGTAAATTAGAAAGTATTAAACATTATCTTTCTTCTGTTGATTGTGTCCACTTTGGTGCAGGTGGAAGGCTACCAATGACATGGTATCCCCAATCATATGTAGACAAGGTTAATATGACTAACATGAACATGAGACCGGACCCAGCCACAGGCTACCCTGGTCGAACATACCGTTTCTACACTGGCCCAACCGTTTTTTCATTTGGGGATGGACTGAGCTACTCTCAATTCAATCACAACCTCGTTCAAGCCCCAAAGCTCGTCTCGGTCCCCCTAGATGAGGGACATGTTTGTCGCTCATCAGAATGCAAGTCCATTGATGCCATAGACGATACCTGCAAAAATATAGCCTTCAATATTCATCTGAGAGTTAAAAATGTGGGGAAAATGGCTGGAAGTCACACTGTTTTCTTGTTTTCTAGTCCTCCCCGAGTACACAATGCACCTCAAAAACACTTGTTGGAATTTGAGAAGGTCCATTTGACACCAATGGCAGAAGGACTGGTCAGATTCAATGTAGACGTTTGCAAGCATTTGAGTGTGGTGGATGAACAAGGTAATCGAAAGGTCGCATTAGGACAACATGTTCTTCATGTAGGAAGCTTGAAACATTACTTGAACGTGAGGATTTGAAGAAATCTTCATCAATATTTATTTTCTTTCTTCTTTTACAGAAGAAATGAAGATCACAAGATGGATCAGGAAAAATAAGTCAACACAATTGTAACAAGTTTCTTGATATTATTCGAATTCCAAATTGTGTAAAATGAGATTCTTGAAATCAAGATCATGTTTTCACAGTTGCTTCCTTTTTATTTACATTCAATGGCTTTTTAAAGTTTTTTATGCTTGTGTCTGTTGAATTATTTTCAATTACGAGTTATTCTACTAGTGTAACATTTCGGTTGCTTCAAGTTTCGTACACAAAATTTTGATATTTGGTACTACAGATTTGATATTTCGTTTTGTACATAAAATTGTCGTTATGGGATTCCAGTTTTTCTGAAAATTAATTAGAATATAGCAGTAATTCGGGGAAAAAAAGGTGGTAACAGTATTGTTGGAATTCCTTTTTCTATTCGGTTAGATGTGCAAATTTCCCTTTCCCGTAAGAGAAGCTTTTACATTGGCCTAGTGCAATCTGCATAACCTAGTGGGCTTGGCCAAGCTAGCCCAGCACAACATGCATGAAGTCAACTAGTCAAGCTTTACCCTACTTCAAGTATGTTGCAGGCTGTTTGATGTAAAATCTTTAGATTAGATCTTGTGAAATGTAATTTTTAATAGAATATATAGTTAAAAAGTAGAAAAATGTGACTATGGGATTTCGTACGATGCAACATTTGCAATCATAGACTGGGGACTCTACTTCCCCCTGCACGTTTTTCTCCTTCGCCCTTAGGGTGCCTCCATGTGTCAAGTTAGTTTTTTTTTTTTTAACGGTTTGAAATTTCGCCAAAGTCATTAGCCAAATATTAATATTAGTCTAGGACTTTGGAAAATATTTTCGACGGTTTAAAATTTCACCAAATTCATTAGCCTAATATTAATATTAGTCTAGGAGTTTGGAAAATATTGTTATGCTTCAACAAAAGAGGCTTGCAATAAAAGGCCTTGTCATGCTTGCTTCCCTATGGGAGCACCCATCATAAGTCAGACATTCGCACGAACAGTGATTGCCAACATCCCCAGTGGATGTGGATGTAAATGATTGGTTAAATGATATGTGAAATTAAATAACTTATTTAATTTCACTTATCATTTAATGTCACATTAACGCCACATAAACTGGGGATGCATCCCCACTGGGGATGAATATTGTTACCATGGAAGCGAATTCCATGTAGGCCTATGATAACACACCATGTGGCAACTCTCTTCGCCTGATTGCGAATGAGGGTGGTTGTCCCAAAGCATCCCATTCGATAAGAAAAAAGCTATTTGTACAAAAAGAATTTGACAAAAATGTTGACAAACACTCATATGATTGCCGGCTCCACATGAATAAAAAATTGAAAATAAAAAGTGGACCCCCCCCCCATATGTGAGGGTTTGTCAACATTTTTGTACAAATTCTTTTGTACAAGTAGCAAGGTTCCATTCGATAATACCAAGGAAAATCCAAGGGTTATAATTTTCACAAGTTAACTTAGGGGATGTATTCAACTGAGATTTTTAATGAATTTTTGGGATTTAAAAAATTTAATGGTATTCAATGTAAACTTTTAGAGACTCTCTAAAAGTACTGGTGTACTCAATTGAGACTTTTATAAATTTTTAAAAAGTCTCTAAAAATCAAGATGTATTCAATTTAAAAATTTTAGAAGCCTTTGTAAATCTTGGGGTATTAAAATTTTAATGATTTTTAGAAACTTTTATAGAAATCTCTATTGTACTAATTTTTAAGCAGAAAGTATATGCCCCCGTTTGGTACCCATTAATTTCTCATTCTCATTCTTCATTTCAACCACACATTTTCCAAATAAAATAATATTACACGCAAATCTAAAATTTTTCATCACTTCCACCACACATTCTCACATCAATCACTATTCCAAAATTTTTATTCTCCTTAAAATTAAGAGTTTGTTTGGTAGGGATTTTTGGGGGAAGAATTGATTTTGAATAGTGATATGATGGGAAATGTGTGGTTGAAAAAGAAGAAAAAATTATTGATGTGATGGAAAATATTATTTTATTGAANAGATTTTGGGAGACGTTCACAAAAACAAGAAGAAATTAATATGTATTTTTTTCAATATTTCTCTTTTCTTTTCCCTTCTACAAATATTATAGTTATGATTAATTTTTATTTTTGTCTATTGATTGTATTCGTTTCTATCTCTCTCTCTCTCTTATTTTTTATTCCTATTTTCTATGAAAAAAATTAAATTGTATTCTTATAACTTTTTTTCTTTTTTCATTCATTTTTTTTGTGAAAAATATCTATTTTTAATTAAATTATAAAATTTTATATAGACTAGTTTATAATTAAATTTAAGTATATGCTCTTTATTTATTCTTTAAAGGTATATTATATTAATAATACTGAATATTAAATTTATTTTTCATATGCATAATTATTATTTATTTAATGAATTAAGGTCTTCATTTTTTATTTTAATATTTCTTTTTTTATTATATGAGGAAGGGGAAGGAGAAAGGAAATTGTTAGACCCATTACCTCGTATGTAATAATTTCAACTATTGTACTAGATCCACGTGAATTCTATTTTAAATGAAAGTCTTCAAAAGTCTTTTGAATTCTACAAAAGTCTATAAAAATTTTAAAATAAAAATCTATAAAAGTTTAGAAAAGACTTAAAACTAATTCTATACAAATCTTTAAAAATTCAACGAAATTTACAGCAATCGTCACTTAAAAAGGTCTATCAAAATTTTTAAAAGTTCCAATTGAATATACACTCGTCAATCCCTAATGGAAACATATTAGTGAAGGAAATTTTTCCATAATAATCGGGTCTCCAGAAGCCAATGAAAGTGTAACATATGGGATTAAGGCTACAAAATACAAACACTCTAGTCAAATCTTTGTCTATCTCTCGCATACCCAATTCTTCCGTATTACTATTTTTCTATGAACAATGCTATGTCTACGGTCATTAGATATGTGTAAATTTACATCCCTCACACATCACGGTGTCGTCCACTAATTGAATTTTCCCATTTTTCTATAGTCAACTTGAATGTTGAAGTGCCAACTGTCGCCTCTCTTTTTTCTAATACAGTCTTGGTGTCTGATGATTTGTGTTCAAACTTGCAAGTAACATGCGGACTGATAGGAATGTTGTGAGAGATATTTTGATAATAAAGTATGCATTTCTTTTAGGTTAGTGCATACATTCTTTTAAAATAGTGTACAAATGCTTTA